AGCTATGCCCAACGTGTAGAATGATGGTGAAAGTAAACCCAGCCGGGAAACACCCCGTTTCTATCTGCTCTAGATGCGGTCCTAGTCACCAAACTGACTGAAATTCAATTCAAACTGAACCGCAGTTCTGATTCAGATTATGTGCCGAAATCCATTCATACAACTAGTGCCTCAAAATGACCTCCATGCGGTATGCAACTAATCAATGAAGCTCATCTGCCAAAGTGCATCATCATGCACCAGTTTTTCCTTCGAAGCACACCGTAAAACTCATGTAATGCCGGGTTTCTGAAGCTTTGTGCCAAAATCAACAGTAGTAATATCTTTGCGAGGCGACAAGAAGTAATCTCTTAACCCTACGTTCGAACTGATCGAAGCGCAATTTTGTCCTAACGATTTTTTCCATTTAATCTGCACTGTAAAATATTGCTGCTTTTCCAGAAACAGCAATTAGAGTACACAGTGCTAAACGCAGTGCTCTACAATAACAGTTTTGTCATCAATTCCTCTGCCTCCCGACTGCATGCAAGTGAGAAATTTATCTGAAAGTTCTCATGAGATCCATCCTGAGAACGATTATTTGTTTTATTTCTTCGTTGGCCACGACTGGGTTGATTTCCGGAGGTGATAGATTGCAGCTTGCAAGCCAATCAATTCACCCCGCGTAAGTCGAATTGACAGACTCAATAACCAGTAATAAAGCACCGAACTAGAAAGAGTTGAATGGATTGCTTGAGTGCTCATTCTGTATGCGTTTATCAACGACCCTATAGATGAGTTAATTCGGTGTTTGCCTACTTGCCTGTAAGCCACAATGGCACACGGCCAGATAGTGGCGTGGGAGTGCTGATGAAACTTTTCGACGGACTACCCCGCAAGAAAATGGGTCCTCAGGAGACGGTTCCACAGCTGGATAGACCACTACAAATGTACGTTTAGTTATATCCATATACTTTTGCTTACTGTCAACCTTTCCGTCCTTATAATACATGTTACGGGTCGACCACCCGAAAATTGGTTTGGAAACCGCCTCAGACAAATCGAAAGATAAACTGTTTTATGCGACCACGCTGTACAAAGAATCAGGCGGCCCAATTTGATTGTATGTCGCGCCATCGAGAAACGCACTATTTAGTGACTCCCGTCACAAATTGACTAGGACACCTCAGCTAATGTGCCGCAATATAAAAAGATAACGTACAAAAAATTACACCATAAAAAATTCAAAAGTAATTTATTGTTAAATATGATATGGTGCATTTCGTATGAGACCGCAACTGGAGGGGAATCTAAAACACACAAACGCCATTGGAGCCGGCTCTTCGTCATACCTACAAGTGGGTCTAACCAAACGTGTTCGTTGTTCTTGGGACACCAGTAGGCAGTCGGGATGCACCAACCGAGGGTTTTCATTGCTCTCGACCAAGTCATCGTTTAGTCTGACTTCCTCCTCTTAAACTCGTACCCCGGGCGCAAAAAACGTGCACGTCGCGGGAGTCGGTGTGCCGGCAGTCGTTGGATGCAAGCACCGTAAGGACAGGCATTATAGTTGTCAATTCTAAACGCTCCCGCGTCGCTAATAGCTGATTAGCATTTCATAAAGCTGTCTTCGCAAACCATCGGATTTTGAAACGTTATATGAGAAAAGAGCATTCAATTTAAGTGCTAACATAAACCTTGAAATTCTGCTAAGTTGGCGCAGCAGATTGGACAGTAAACGGCAGCTTGACGAAACCTATGTCACGTTAAACCTATCCGAAACCTTTTGGAGACGAAATGAGAATCGGGAAAGCGATGTACTAAAGGAGATAGGTCCTTCCTATTGTAGTAGTACATCCTATCCCTATATAAGACACTGAACTCTAATAGAGACGTAAGCGGAGCACGTAGGCTGTTTGATACATGCGAAGGTCCTCCGTACGGGCGTGGTACGACCTTTGACCTTTCCGCCGAATTTGGGAATCGAGTGCGAATTGATCGGCCAACAAGTGCAAGCCCTTGTCAAAGGAATCGAACTATTCCGTTAATATGGTAAACCAGTGGGGCGGAATTCACTCACGCTGGCTGAAAACTAGACGCAGTATGAGTGACCTTGACCTCCGAAATTAGTATGTTTCGTTTACCAATAAATAGAGTTGATCTATCCTGTAGACGTACTCTCTGACTAGCGAGTTCTGGCCTTTTGTATTCCTTCAGCTGACTAGGTGCGTGACTGAGCAGTCAGACAGTCGAAGCCTCACAGGGCAGCAAAGCAACAGTACAATAAGATCTCAAACGAGGACCATGTGCAAAGCATCGAAAATTTGGTTATAGAGGCAAGCGAACACAGCTGAAAAGGGTATGTAAGTTAGACACAACGGTATGTTAAAAGGAGCAAAATACCGCCTGTTGTCAGGAAGATTACTGAAGGTGTTGGAAGAAACGTTCGATAAGGCCTACTGTATCAAGGGGTGCAGAACATGATAAAAAATGTAAGGGCGTAATCCAATCTCAGTGAATAAAACCTAGAGACAATGGGAAAATCAGCGGTGAAATCACATCGGCTAGGCTGAAATATTCTTTGAGCTTAATGATGTTGTTGTAGTGAATGCGTCGCCAAGGGTGTTGAAGGAGTGAAGACTAGAGGCAAACGATCGGATACTGATGACGAGTGGGTAGATAACGAGAGTCGCGGACACAGAGAAACACTAAAGGCGCTGCAACACCCAGCTGTTCCGCCGCAAGCCGGTTGCAGAAGGATAAGGTTGAGTTGAATAACAATATCAGACACCGACTCCGGGGTGAATGAATGAGGACAACCGGACGTTAACTACATGGAAAAATGGTGGACATCAAAAAAAGAAAAGAGAAACGCGAATTTGATTGAACGGACTGATATCGCTGCCACTCGACTGAGTCACGCTGTCTGTTCCGGTAGGCTGCTTAAAATATAATTTTAGTGCGCATAAACCGAGGTCATATACGGGAACACCAGTAGCTGCCAGCCAAATGCTTACAATCGGCCTGAGATATACGATGGCATCAGAATAGCACGATGCATAGAAACCTCTAAAGCCGTCTGGCCTGGAGTAGACTCCAGCATTTGTCTGTTCAACGGTGAGGTTGGCGGTCAACCGTTGGGGTAGAAGTCCGTTGGCATGTGGCGTGTATCGCCAGCATCTTGTCCGCTCACAGTAATGAACGAAAATAACGGATAGGTATAGTTACACCATGCACACGTACAGCAATGCGCAGTGACGTTAATCTTCATGAGTTTCGCACGATGTTCACCGACCCCTAGTGTTACTATACAACGGAACGATATTTGCTGCACCATCAAATATTTCTGATTGCATGGCGCAAAAAGTCAATAACGAATGATGTTATCACTTCGAGGACAAAAGAACAACATACAGAAAGGATGAGGAACAGAAATCGAATAGAGTATGGATTCCTAGTGTGCGCAAAGTTGGGTCAGAAATGTGTTAAAAGGCGCGACTAGAGAAGAGTACTTGAATGAGAACGAAAAGTAAACGGAGCTCGGAATGACAGCAAACAATGGTGGGGAAAGAAAAGCCCCTACAGCGAAGCTTTGATCGCAATAGTGGTTATCTAGCGCACCGATCGAACCCGAACAGTTTATGGCGGTGTAACCAAAAGAAATCAAAAGTACAGTAGCCCTAAACTGAAGACAACAATCACAAAAGGGAACTCGATGAGGGTGTTCCAACACACAAGGTTCGTAATGACTAATGTGATAACCTCAATGAGTCATGCAGTTACGGGCCGGGTAAGCAGGCACTGAAGGATGGGCAGACGAACACAACAGATAACTGTCAATAAGAGTGACTCACTTGCTTCAAATGAAAATGGTGCTTTTTATCTTTTTTCGGTTTCGGCTTAACGATTGTAGGTAAATTGTGCAGTATTAGATGGACTACTACTCTTGGAAGGTTAGTGTAAATGATACAAAATAAAGCATTTCCAGATAATAAAACCGGTGGTTGACATATGTCAGCCCATCGCTGTCATCGGTTTGCGGAAAACTATCGATATAAGCTGGATAATCAATCAGATGGCGTGGTTCAGAGATAAAGTGATAACAATAGAAAGACAGTCAAAGTGCATGATGGATCTGTATGAGTAAAATCTATCATACAAACGGCCATGTGAGCGATAAGCGAATGTTAACAAAGAGATGGTGTGTATGTTTGTTATACGGTATCATTTCTAAGCTGCGGCATGTAATATGCATAGTAGTTAAGATGGAGAAACATCGAATTTGAACGTTTGCTGAGACGCATCAAAAGTAAATGAGCGTGATAGTATGAGCTCTGTAAACAGCAAGTGGGTATGATTGTAAACAGACCAGGCTGCCAGTCTCCGTTGCTTTTTACGCTGTTTTCACTAAAATATTTCCATACCGACATACCCACACAAGCAGCAAGAGAAAATATAAATGAAGGTGTGTACTGAAAGAGGATTAATTCGGTTAAGAAAGCGAAGATACTATTGTAATGAAGAGACTGGACTGATATGTTACAGCCATTGTCCCTGTAAACCGCCAGAAAAAGGAAGTGGAAAGCAAAAGAAACAGAACCAGCATGACACGATGAGGAAATAGGAGGGTTTGTGAAAGAAAATTTAGTCCTCGTGGTAGAACATGTAGAACAGGTTGGTTTGCATGAATCCGGTAACAGTGCTGTGACTTGTTAATCCATATTCTGACTAACACACATGGTGGAGCAGTTCCTGTAACCAGGAAAGACGACTCCAAAACACGAAAACTTCAGCCGTGACAAGAGTGCAACGGCCCCCTATCCAACATGTGCTCTAAGGATTAGACCCTATCTCGTCACTACCATCTGCACAGATCGCTAGGTGACGTGTAACAGTGAAATCGGGCAGATACGAAGGCATCGAGAAGCGCTCAATAATGCTCAGTAGGTCAAGGATACAGTAAAAGTAGCTGAGACCGAGGATGGAAGACAGCACATAGCAGCGAAACTTAGGGAACGTACTTGCACTTGAGCTTGTTGACGGCAGACCACAATATTAAACACATCAAGAGCGTCCTCATAATCCTGGATAAAAAGAAAGAAGGAATAAGAGGAGAAATCTCAAGTGTAGCGGGGGTAGATTTACGTGAATTAAAATGGAAGGATAGCGTGATACCACGAAACGAACCTCAATTATCGGTAACAGAAACCTACAAATATCGGCCGATCGCTTGCATGTCGGTTGCATTAGAGATCTTTGACAGGCTGATTCTGAAAATGATCTTAGCTCAGACCCAGTCTGATTCCCATGATCAGTTTGCACATCGCAGCTCAAGGTTCACCATGGATGCAGTAGCATCTCTAGTACATACTGTGCTCTCGGCACTGGATAATCAAAATAACTCCATCCGCATCTGCTTCCTGGATTTCGGTGACGTTTTCGGTTGTGTGAACCGTGAAATACTGTTGCGCGATCTATTAAGTTCCGGAGTTCAAAATTCTGTTGTTCTTTTGTTGAAAAATTATCCCACTAGGCGCACTCAGTTTACCAGGTCAATGGAAAAAATGCTTCTTCAATCATCACGAACTCTGGTGTTCTTCAGGCAACCAGTTTGTCCCCATTCCTCTTTTCAAACACGTCACTTTAATCCCACTCCCATCTTGCAGAAGTATGCGGACGACGTAATCTTTGGCATCCATTGTTCAAGCATAGAATCATGGGGCAAACTACAAACCCTACTGGACAACCACACCGTTGGTTCAAATCCCGTTACCTACGGTTAAACACCTAAAAAATCAAAGATGTTCTTTTTCGCTGCTCAAAAGCAATTGCTATCAGCATATTTTAATGCAGTGTCCTCCACTTTTCATTGACGGTGAATGTTTGACCTCTTCCAGCTCAGAAAAATACCTGGGAGTGACACTGAGATTACGTGTCTCTTCACGTGAACGAAACATTCGCTAAGTGAGATTTCCCCTACGGAGCTGTAAAATGAATATGCCACTGAGGGAAGTGGTGAAACGTTTGACATTAAATTACTCAGCTCGGAGAACGAATCAAAAGGTTAACTCTCATACTAGGTTACAGGCCGTCTTCCGTACCCCGATTTTTGACTTAGCGTTTTGCCACTGTAAGTGCATTAGTCTACTGGACTTATTGTTCTCCGGTGATCTTTCCTGGTTTCCTGAGTAAGAACCACAAAGTAACCGCCAAGTCAGTGAAGCATCCATCCCGGTGGAAGTTGTTGACATTATTGTCACCAGCCATGTCAACTCATGTAACAAATATGCACCTAAAATACTTACCGACGTAAGCCATCCCGACCACAGAGTCTTGTCCGAATGCTTAACAACCTCCTCGAGCAGACAGAGGTATAAAACGATATACGCCCGCACAAGGGCCTATGGTAAATCCGGATTTCCTTACCTGTCACGTCTTTTGAACGATAAAAATTCAATCATTCAAGAACTGGTTAGTATACTACTCCAGTGATAGTTGATTCGTTAAGTTTCTGTAATGATTGCGGTGTTATATCTACTCTCATGTACTATTCGTTTTCGTTATTTATCCATGCCCGTGTGCTAAAGCGGAATATTCACCATTCATGGGTGCACAAAGCAAGTTCCGGACTTGACTTGAATAGTGAGTTTAAGAGAAAAACAAAAATTTAAAGGAATTCCAACATGCAGCAAGGAAGAACGCCTTACTTGGGGAAACGTGTATTTATTTAACCGAGTAAGGGGCTATGTTGTAAGCTTGATGCTTCTTCACCGCAGTTGGGCTAACCAAACTTACACTTAAACTAGAACTTTTTAAGCTGGATAAATTTTATTCCACTTTATTTGGTTTGTTCTGTATACCTGAATAATCTTCTATTAACTGGCCACGTTGCTTTCGCTAATTGCGCTTATCTTCGGTAACTTAGTTGCGTTTGTAGCATTTCTAAGTAACTTGTGGATATTTCTTCCTTATCGCGGATTCGTTGCTAACCAACTTACTTCATATGCTAATTTAGCGAAGAGTTATGCCACCGTATCTGTATGCATTATTCGATTTATTTTATTTCATCTTGTCGTTTCAGGTGATTGGCTGTTCCTTGATATCCCCCGTGTCGTTGCGTTTGATGTGCATGTTGACAAGGTGCCTACCGGTCTGTTACCCGCTACCTCGTCCATACTGGCTCGAGGAGACAGTTGGTCGCTGCTGGAGGGGACGGGGTGCACGATTCTTGTGGCCCTGCTATGCTCGAAGAGCGGTGCCATGCACTCAGTGTGGAGCGGACTACGGTCCAGCCACCGCCTTGTGTGCGCTTGTTTCCCCAAATACAGTGTGCTTGTGGTTACCTGTGAAGGAGTGTGGTCCGGCTTCGTTGATGAAACGTGGCTCCCATCAACATGCCTCCCGGTCTTATTCCTTCGGGTTTACACTGGATATGGGTGTGTGGTTGGAGCTGTGGGTGGTGCAGCGCAAGCCCCCCATGGTCCCTCTGTAGGCGCAGGCGTTCTGTGGCTGGTCACAGTGATATGCAAACCCGAAACCGGATGCCGCCAACCAAGAACCACAAAAAAAAACTTGGGATCACAGGCAGTTAGTATAACTAAACAAAAGTTCGACAGAAACACTAGTAGTTAAAATGAGTCCGCGTTTCACAAATCCTAAGAATTAAGATTATGATGACCAGTTTGAAGTCAGTCTCAAAGGTTTACTCAAGGCGATGAAAATATGATTAATTAAGCGAGTTCTTCAAAAATAACACTGAAGCGTAAATTATTCTGCGGACTGCATGGACACAACTGTTGTGTATAAAGTTAACGGATGTAAAATTTTAAGAAGTGGGAGGCACACAGCTTGTAGAAAGTGAGCACCAAATACCAGCTACCGGATGAGATGTGAAATAATGCAATTAGTAAATAATTCACACCGAAAAGGACTACTGGATGCGAGCCGTCGTAACAAGACGGCACATACACGTGGTATGACCGTTTGCCTACCTCTTTGACCCAATGAGATGTACTGGGTGATGCCCTGCGGCGACTTGAGAGCTACTCCTACCAGGCAGATCAATGAGTAGATACCATACGAACTCAGTCTCCAGATTATGCAGAATTGAAGTTGGAAATAGGATGGCGTCCATTTCTGAAAAACTAAATCTCTGCCACTTCCCCGTTCTATTACCTAGGTTTGAGTGCCACGGCAGTATCACAGCTCATGTGCAACCGTATCTCCAATCACATCTTGCATCGGCCGAAGCGCAGAGTGTCAAGGGTGGCTACATCCACTGTGACGTGGCGGACGTGACTCGCCACTAAATAAAGTCACTGCCCCTTGCTTCATCCTGGCGAAGCATTGTATTCCAGCAGTCTTATGCTGTACTTCTGGGGAGCATTGGGCCCCTGTTTGACAAAGGAACAAACGAAAGGCGTATGAACTGAGCAATCAGTCACCGGCTCCCAATGGGCGCGATTCCCTGAATTCGCTCCGCTGCCTTGCGGGCAGGCTATTCAGCCAAAGGCTCGGGGTGGTGTCCCCTAAGTCAACACTTCGGCTTGGGCAACCGGGTAGTATCTCGCCCTCTGAGGAAACCATGGACATTGTTGTGTTGTATGTTATTTTACTGTTTCTGTACCTTCGTTTGAATCCCATGGTTTCTGATGGCATTATGTCTGTTAACAGACTTTTGCAAATATATATATGTATACATCCACTACACACATCCCGGTGGATAAGCGAAAATAAGCTACTGCTGGCGTCACAACCCGATTATTAACATAAATGATAAAATCCGCAACTTAACGGACACCAGCCACATTGTCATGGCACTACTACTACCTGGAGCTACCTTCCCACAACACAGTGCGCGAAAAATAGACAAAATATCCAGTATAATCATACCGGCTCGCTTCCATGGCAGCGTTCGACATTCGCATCATCAGGCTGTACTTGCACGCACGTTGGATACACTGGGTATTGACGTGTATTGCGTATCTGAAACTAGAATCAATGACCCCAGGGGTTGTTGAATTAACGGTGTCCGGCTTGTCCTCTCGCTACTGGTTGCACGTATCTGGAGACGCTGATGCGGCAGTCACTAGTAAAGCTGGGGTAGGCATCGTTATCAGCCCCAAGGCGAGTCATCGTTGGTTGACTGGATCCCCGTGAGCAGCCGTTTGTGCAGCCCATTTGACGACATTAAGTGAGATTAATACATTGGCTGGTAGCTTGCCGGAACGATGCCCATTCGCTACCGGTAGCTCAGCCGGCTTGCATCAATTGCTTTTTTCTCCTTTTTCTATGTATTTCGGCACAGTAGCTGAGGTGTTCCCGACCTCTAGCTAAAGTGTATTATGATGATGATGAAGATTAATTCACTAGGCAGTACTGGACGCTGTTTTTTGGTGGTTTCCACTTATGCACCCAACCACTGCAGTTCCGATGCTGCAGGACGCCCTTTAACATGAAGCGAACAAGCAGCTAAGCGATGTTGCCAGTTCAGATATCGATGTTGTCACAGGGGATAAAAAATGTGCAAGTAGGTCGTCTAAGCTCTCCAGAAACTTAGCTAGGTGGAAATTATGGGCTTAACTACGAAAAGACGCACAACGGCGAATGTCGGTTGCCACTGTGCGCGGAATAACAGCCGTCTCTTAGTGGCAGCGCGCCGAAGTGCCACCGGACCAGGGATGGACTCCAATTGATCATGTAACCATTACAGGTAGCGTGGTTCCATGCTGGACGGTCCCTCATTCTGGAAAACCTGCGTCGACCCTGATCACACTGTGATACGACGTCGTTTTTCCATGAACTTTACCGGAAGGCGCACCAAGCGTCCCCCTCGATTAGTAACTAAAAACTCATCTCAGTCCTCGGTCGCGTAAACCTATCATGATGTACTGCGTACCCAGCTACCGCCCTATTGTCTTAAGTACACTGAGGTTCAGTGGAATAAGACCTCCGTCATCATGCACGATGCAGGAGAATCTGCTTGTGGTACTATCAATCGTTATCGCATCAGTCGCTGGATATCCGAGAGGTCGGTGAACCTGTTGGAATCCGGAAGAAAGCTCCCGGCTGTCTATGAACACAA